AAATTCTTATCAATGCTGTAAGTGTAGCTACCAGTTTAGCTGCCAATTTTGATTTCATCCCTTTAAGTCGCACATTCAATCCCTTTTTTGCCCACACCTTTGTTTTCACACCCAAGGTGTTTTTGATTAGATATATATATTTTTAATTGAATGTTATTAATATATAACTTCCCAGAAGTTAGTCCCACAACTAATACAAAATTTATACATATATATATAAATTAAAAATACAAACGTAATAGGAAGACTATTCCACAGTCTAGCAACTCTCCCTTGAAGATCTTTAGTCTAAAAGATTACATGCACTATTTTAATTTTACATAAAACAGCTAATAGTGACCTCCTTAAATAAATTAAAACTGTTTCCAATTAACTTCAAGCTATTATGTTGATTTTAACGTTCCACTTATCACCTGGCATTTCAATTTGGAATATTACAGTGTTTCTTTATATATACCAAACCTGTTGTACTCAGTCATACAACATCATGATTATATAGAAACGTTATATTAACAGTTCATGGTGCAAGTCATTTCTCCAATTATGCAATAGGAACGTTAAGCCTCACTGTAAACTCTGTTTTAGATACTGCTAATTTTATGGCTTTATGTTATGTTTATGGCAGAATGAATGCACTGACAGCTTTCTCTTGAGTGAATCACCGGTGTTACATGACGTCCTGTCTTTACCCATTTAAGCTTTGGCGGTCATGTATAATTAAAAAATAAAAAGTGATTTAATCGAGTAAATTTGTTTTTATTTCAGTTGTCCTTTCAACATGGCATACATGATCCACCAGTGGTACGTGATGGAAGGTGTGACTTTATCATGCCCTCCGTACAAAATAAATGCTTTGATATATGACTTTGGAGATATGAGGTGCAGTTATATCTTATGGGTGCTGTGTACCACAGGTGGCTCATCAGATCCAACAGAAAACATACAAATGTACCACCAGTGGTGCATAATGTCATGAACGTGTTAAGCAAATCTTCCTCTTCTCTTTGTAATAAGTAATGTGCAGCACACATTTGACAAACATCATGACCCATTTAGAAATACAGGCAGTCTACAGTGTGCTGATAATCTTTTTACCTTTTTTAACCTTAAGATAATTTGGAAAAGGATACATTACATTTCACAAACATTTGTTTGTATTTCTTTGGCAAAAGTTTAAAATGTTTTAGGAACAGAATTTGCTGAACTAGTAACTTTGTAAAGCACCTGCATTTTCAGATTCATCAATGAATAATATTTTATGGTAGTTTCAATTGAAAAACCCTATCTTTTCAGTTTGTTACTTTGTGGCAAACCTACTAAGATTAAATGTGGCTGTCCATAATTTTGAATTGCTGGCCAGCTGTTGGGCTACTGTTTACCAGCAAATAGTGGGATTGATCAGAACATTATATTGCCCCCACTGCTGAAAGGGCAAGCATGCTCAGTGCTAGGTTTCGAACCCACAAATTGAAAATTGAGCACTCTAACCACCAAGAAATGCTAGGCCCACTCATATTTTAATAATATGTATTTGTTTCATTTTGTAAATGTGCCATAAATAAACTTTGTTCCCAAAAGATATAACAATTCAGTAAATTAAAAATATAATACATTCTAGTTCTTATATAAAATGTATATAATTTCTCCTTCGTATATTTAGTCTTCACATTTCAGTTCCTACCTAAATAGAAGATATGTAATTTCATCTTCATACATTTAGTCTTAACATTTCAGTTTCTGTCTAAACGAGTGGTACTACTTCTTCATTTATGTAGTCTTAACATTTCAGTTTCTGTCTAGAACGAGTGATACTACTTCTTCATTTATGTAGTCTTAACATTTCAGTTTCTGTCTAGAACGAGTGATACTTCTTCTTCATTTATGTAGTCTTAACATTTCAGTTTATTTAGAACAAAGATATACCTTTTCTCCTTCATACATTAAGACTTTATATTTCAGTTCCTATCTAAAACAAAGTAATATCATCTTTCCTTTGTAAATATAGTCTCAACATTTCAGTTTCTCTCCAAAATGAAGAAATACCATTTTTCCTTCATACATTTAGTCATGACATTTCATTTTCTGTCTAAAATAGATGACAACATATCATTTCTTTGTTTTTTATACATGTACACTGCATTTTATAGTTTATAGGTTTACAGTCATATATATTATGTGCATTAAAACATCACAGCATCTGAATATTGTTCATTTAATGGGAAAGTACAGAAAGAAATATTTGTTTAATACTTTAACTGTAGAAGAAACACTGCACTGGCTAAACCTAAAATAAGTGCAAGAACCTGTGTAACCATTTTACTTTATTATTATTATTGATGAGAAACTGTTTCAGCTGAATAACTACAGAAACTTTTAGAAAGAAAATTTCGTAGTAAAACAGATAATACTTACATAGCTTTATTATGTAAAAAAATGCTATGTTTGCATGACATTTTCACTAGTCTTTCAAAAAACTGAAAAGAAATATTTTTCACATAAAATTAGTATTTTGAATTTATTGCAAAGCAGGTAACTAGTACAATAAAAGTCACATCTTGTATTTTTTTAACCCTGAATTTATGACTTAACCAGGCCAAAATCCCTAAAATATTATGACAGTTTCATATCATCAGATCCAGTAGTACTAGTTTCTCACTTTGGATTATTGTATCAATAAAAATTTTAATCTAATGAAGCCAAACCAAACTACAAGAGCTTAGGATTTTGTTACAGCATCTATACAGGTTATTACTGCTGGCCTATTCTTACAATTGTTGATTGTTTTTTTTCTAGCATAAATTTGGCCAGAAACTTAGTTATTTGAACAAACAGTAATCACAAATATATGAATAAGAGCAGTAACAGACAGAGCACACAAGATTTTTAACCAAAGAAAGAATTCAGGTTAAGCTCATTAACATTTGAATCATCATCTTGAAGTTCCAACACAACAACAGCTTGTTTCACTATATTCTTTTTTTGGATACTCTCTCTCCCCATTTCCTTGATATTCTTTTTCTAATGGATAAGCCATGTAGTCACATCCACATTGAATACATGTATTGTACTTGAAATGCCTTTTCACTTTGCATTTACAAGTAATAGGAGGCATAAAATGTTTCCACAGTATCCTGTACTTGTTTTCTGTGCATTAAAACCAAAAATATGTTGGAAAAAAAGGAATTCACTTTTGGCCAAAAATGTAATATATTGGTTTGGTCATAGGAAGGTCAAATATGTTAAGTAACTACCCCATGACAAAAGTTACTGACCTTTTTTTTGTCATCACAGAATAGCTATAGTTCTACCATATTTTTAGTAAATTTTATAATTTTCCTGATGTTACATGCTCCATGTTTATCAACAATCTCGGCTTCGTTATGTCGAGAATTGGGGGTTGAATAATCAAAATCTTTAAAGTCTGCAGTAAAATTATTTGGTAACTTTTAAATATTTTTAAGAGACTCCACTTTAAATAATATCAAAAACAACCACCATTGTTTCAATAAGCTTAAATTGTTTTGTTTAATATTGATATTATGAAAATAATATTAACTTTTCCTTAAAAGTTTACATTTAAAAGTAGTTTCATAATGTACAAAGTGAAAAATGTACTCAAAAAAAGCTTGAAATAAATTTACCACATTTTTCTGTTAACTGTTAACCATCACTCTAACTATGCCTTTATTTTCTTTGTACAACTTATTAGAAAACCAACTACAAGTACTACTAAAACTATTTCATAGTGATGACATACCCCTTGAACATTCATATCTGTACACATTAAAAGTTTTTCTCTGAACTTATAGGGCTATTCATTACTTTCTGTATTCACTACTTTTTGCTGTTCCTCGATGTTAAGAAAACTAGTGAGTTTTCCGTGTTCTACCAACAGATTAACGTGAACATTCTCATGGTTTCGGAACCTTTCGATTTTCTTAACTCGGTACTCCCATGAATCAAGATATTCATAAAATGGACGTCTCTTGGTCTTTATTAACTCCACTTTGCCTTCATTGATGTGCTCATTGTAATCAATGACTTCCTGTGGATTGATTTCTTTCATTGTTCGGCATTTTGATGGTGAAGCAATCACTTGAGGGAAATTATCTCTCTCTTCTCGATACTCAACAACATGCAAACCCTTTTCTTGTGCTAACTGCTGGTGAGTTTTCTACAAATAATCAGTTACAATTAGTATGACATAAATACAAAAGGCTTGACAAAAATGTAACAGCTTGAAATTCCCAGCAAGTTACAGTAATTTATAAATTTTTGAGATATAATAATTCTTCTTTATTCAACTATAAATTTTAAACACACCAAAGTAAACCCATACATCTTAATTAGCAAATCCTTCACAAAATTAAATCAATCTATCCATTTCTATTTGAGTTTCATTATTTCTCTTCAATCCTTACCTGATTCTGAAGTCCTAGAAAGAAAGCCTTTGTCAAGTTGTTAATGTTGGTTGAACCTTCTACTTTAGCATATAGGTCTTTAATACCAATAATTTCACAGATGGTTTTTATTGCTCGATGACAAACAAGGCCAAACCCTACATAAATTTTTTAAAATTATAACTAAAATGACAAAAATCACATTTGGTTAAAGATGTTTTTAACACAATCTTCTTAATCACTCCATTTTAGTTTTTAAATTAGGTATGTGAAAAAACAGCACATTAGATCTATCTTATGACAGCCAAATTTACAGCCTGGATGACTACTCCACTTCACAACTTACAAGCTAAGCTGAACATATGACAATTGAAAGTATCTGAAATACTGTATGTTTGTTTGCTAAGATTGTTTATACAACACCAAAGGTTCATTATTGTTGCACAAAAAGTAAAATACAATTCTTGATGTACACATTTCTGTAGTAATGCTATGTTGTTAGATATAAGTGAATAAGAAAATATTTTTTGGCAGATATTTTTATATTTTTAGAATTAAACATTTTCTTACACCAACAAAACCTTTCCATTCTAACTTGGCTGCAGACAGTTTAAGGTTATTAATTTTAAACAACAATAACTAAATTCTTACAGTTGTATATGTATAAATAGATGTATTTTATAAATATTACAAAACGTAAATGTAGAATCACATAGGAAATTTTCCTTCTAACCAAAATACAAAATTGTAATTTACTGAAAAATAATTTTTTTAAGAAATCTATATTCAATCCACTACATTTTTTTTCAGTTCTACCTTTTGGTTTCTTCTTGACAAAAATTTGTGTTTTCCCAAAGCAAGTATAGAAATCGTGAAATACTGGAAAATAAAAATTTCTATATAGCATGTAAAATTAATTTTTTGCAGTGAAAAGTATCTCAGAAAACTAATAAATAAACACTGTATTTAAATTGTTCACAGATTCTACACAATGAAGAAAAGAACAAAAAGAGCTCACAAAAATTGTTTTAAATTCAAATTTTAAGTATGGTAGTACTTTTACTAGGGATCGACAAGAATCCCAAATAATTCATGTGCCAAAAACCACTGTATCGAATTCCTAAGTGAAGAACTGACCATTCAAAGCATTGGTTACAATATATTATGCAAGTATATACTAATAATACTCGTACAATAAAAAGGTAACTAACATTTCCAGTACAACAATTCAAAAATAATTTCTAAAACAGCAACTTTTTTTGTCTACTACCTACCTGATCACGTCAGTGGGGCTAGCACCTAAATGGCTCAGACTATTACTACAAGATTTTTCAGCTTATTTGACTGGTCTGTGAGTATCCACTTTTGATATTCCGATAAAAATCTGTATATATTATACCTGTATACGAGTATATATATATATATATAATATATACAGGTATATATAATATATATACACGAGACAGTTTCTAAAGGTAAAGTATATACTTTATACAGGTATAACATAAAAGTAAACAAACAAGGGTATTAAAACATTATGAATTTTAAAATGAAGTAGGGATCCTGCAATAAAAGTAACGAAACAGGAATTAAGACCAAAATAACAAATTTATAAAATTTAATCCCTACTTTGAAAACTTTATACACTTATCTGTAGGCCAATGTAAGGATTAAATTTTATAAATTTGTGATTGTGTTTTAATTCTTGTTTCAATACTTTTTATAGCAGGATCCCTACTTCATTTTAAAATTCATAATCTTTTATTAATCTTGTATAATAAACATACTTATTGTTGGACAGT